ACGAACTCTGCGGAGGAGGTTCCAAAACAACTGAAGATGACTCCTCCTCAACCGCGGAAGAAATGGACACCTAAAACCGAAACGATACCAAAGCCATGTAGCAGCCTAAACGGTCAAGTTTTCAGCTTACCAAGCAATCAACAACCAAGAACAGCAATATATGTTCCCAGAAAAATCAAAGCCTCCCCCATGGCGCAGTTTTGCACCTCAGACGTAACTGCGGTTAAAGTGAAGTGCCCATGGGGAAAGGGCAAAAATAGAAAGTTGATACTAGCATCAGTCTACCTACCCTCAGATGCAGCCACCCTACCACCAACAAGGGAAATGGAAGATCTGGTAGACCATTGTCTCCAGACCACTTAGGCTGGGGCAGCAAAGACAACAACGCTCGAGGTAAGTCCCTTTATGACTATATTATTATAAAAGATTTGTATATCTTAAATCAGGGCACCGAACCTACCTTTAGTGATGTTCGTAGCCAAACAGTCATAGATATCACGCTGGCAACAGCTGAAATATCGAATAAGATTCAGAACTGGCAGGAATCGGAGGATATTTCTATGTCTGACCACCGCTGGCTAACCTATAATATTAGTCTGAAAAAAAGCCTTATCAAATCGCGCGACCCTAGGAGGATGGATGTAGAACTGTACAACCGACTCTTAGAAGATGCTCTGCGAAATGAAAAGGCTTCAACTCCAGGAACTAATATAGAATTGGAAAGGTATACTTTATCTATCCAAAACAAAATAAGCTATGCTTATAATAAATCCTGTCCAATAAGGATGGTCCAGGAAAGTCGCAAAACCAACTCTTGGTAGTGCACTAAATTGGAATACCTTAGAAAGATAGCAAGAACAGCTTTTAATAGAGCGAAACTCACCAAACTCAAAGAGGATTGGAATTCTTATCAATCAAATCTCAGAGAGTTTAAAAAAGTCTGCAGACAAAGACAAAGAGCTGCTTGGAGAACCTTCTGTGAGGAAATCGAAGATTTGCCGCAGGCTTCCAGGCTACAAAAAGCGCTCTCAAAGGACCCACATCGGCATGTCAGCATACTAAAACGAAGGAAGATGGGAACCAAACTTCCAACCTTCGCAAAAGTGCTGAGGTCCTGATGAAAACACACTTTCCCGGTTCTAGTGTCTCAACAGCACCAAACCGGATGGAAGAAACAATCATACCCTCAACAAACGACTGGCATCTCGCCAGAACAATGATTAATGAGGAAAAGGTAAAATGGGCCATATCGTGCTTCACCCCTTTCAAATCACCAGGGCCTGACGGTATATATCCAGCCCTACTACGGTGGGGACTGGATATCCTTCTGCCGCACCTCGTTGAAATATTCAGAGCCTCTTTGGTTCTGAGATATATTCCTAGGAAGTGGAGAGAAGTACGTGTGGTCTTCATACCAAAACCAGGTAGGATGGACTACACCCTACCAAAGGATTTCCGACCAATTAGCCTAACATCCTTTCTGTTGAAAACGATGGAGAGGCTATGCGAGAGGTACATAACGGATGAAGTTCTGGTTCATAACCCACTTCACCCAAATCAACATGCATATACTTCGGGAAGATCTACTGATTCTGCACTGCATCATGTAGTGGGAAGAATTGAAAGATCGCTGGATAATAAAGAATCCACCCTAGGTATATTCATAGACATTGGGGGAGCGTTTGATAAAACCACATTCCCAACTATCACCCAACAGCTCAACGTTAGGAATGTTCCCCTGACCATAAGCAAATGGATATTTAGTATGCTCTCTAGTAGAGCAATAAGCATAAATGTAGAAGACGTTTCTGTTAGAGGTATGGTTTCTGTTAGAGGGGATGTCCACAGGGAGGGGTGCTATCACCACTACTATGGAACATAGTTCTAGACGCCCTGGTTGACCAACTCAACAGCAACGGTTTCTACACAATAGCCTATGCAGACGATATTGCTGTCCTGCAAAGCGACAAGTTTGAGAACACACTATGTGAGAGATCACAAGTTGCCCTTCGACTAATAGAAACATGGTGCAAGGAACACTCACTATCTATAAATCCTAAGAAAACAGAGATGGTCCTCTTTACCAGGAAAAGAAGAATCACGGGCTTAATACCCCCAATGATTCTAAACTTCAGTCTAAATTTTTCTGACGAGGTGAAGTACCTTGGTATTACCCTTGACAGGAAGTTAACATGAAAGTCACACCTAGATGGTAGAGCTAAAAGAGCATATATTGCCTATGAACAGTTTCGACGAACTGTTGGACGCACCTGGGGCCTCACGCCCAGGGTGATCGCCTGGGTCTACACCGCTGTCATTAGGCCAATGCTAACTTACGGAGCTGTTGCTTGGGTATCAAAAGTGCTACATGCAACAGCGTTTAACAAACTAAACCATATTCAGCGGATGTCTTGCATAAATATAACAGGTGCCATGAAAACAACACCAACTGCTGCAATGGAGTTGATCATTGGCATCACGCCTCTAGATATATATGTCAAAGAGGTGGCTCTAGTAACAATGATGCGACTGCGCTCAGCTGGTGCAAACCTTGATGTAGGAATGGGACAATTGAGAACTCGTTTCTGGCGGGGAGAGCTGGATGCGTTACCAGTACTACAGGCAGACTGCGACTCAATTGAACCAAAGTTCGTCTTTAACAAACCCTACAAAATTAAAACAAGACAGTATATGGAGACAAACGTGGCAAATGCCTACTGCATATACACCGATGGCTCAAAATGAAAGAAGGCTCAGGATGCGGGATATACTCCAGATCACTGAACCTAAGAATAATGTGGGGTATGGGCAAAAATGCCAGTATAGTTCGGACAGAACTGAATGGTAATTCAAAAGCCGCAAAAGAGATAACCCAAAAAGGTATAGCAGGGAAAACTATAATGATCTGCACAGATATCAGACAAGCGCTACTAACCTTGAATAGACCACGTGTCA